TAAAATGCATAGTAAACTTTTACAGTTTACATAAACAGTTTACATAACATGTATTTGTAAACGGTAAAAGATTCAGGTAGATTGTATTACGGAACCTATACTTTGTAAGACCGACTCGCACTAGGCGGATTTTTTATTAACTTATTGTCCGTTTATTTATCAAAACCGGGTACGTCATTGCCAATTCGTTTTTGTGATTGGTACAGTTTTAAAATAGAATTGCGGTAGCAGTATATTAGTAGAAAGAGGTAATATACCAAAAAATACCATAATTTAGATGTGTCTTCAGATCAAAAGATTAGAAAGACACATTTGAATGTCCCCCTTTCTTATCTACTGTTTTTTTTACTTAACATTTGAAGGTCAGGATGATATACACACCGAAACATTATGAGTATACCTAAAGGCATTAGACGACAAATAAATTAGATCATTAATTTCTGCTATTACACTATCGTAATACAAACATCGACCACTAAAAAGAGCCAGATAGAAGTGTTAACTGTTTTGTAAACTCAAAATGAAACAAGAATACAATGTTATTTACCAACCAATTTCAGCTTTATTACAAAGAAATAGATGGTCATTTGGAATGAAAACGTAAGTTTGCATTCCGTGGACTAGTAAACAGCGCTGAAAAGCAAATACGGCATTGTATGGATTCGCTGTTCAAACATTCACATCCACGGGGAGAATGTATGGTATTTGACCGAAATATCCCACATAATTGCATAACAATAAAACTATTGCGTCCACCTTCACATTCCTGGACGGATTCTCGGGTTTCCTAACTCGGTTCCCACATTAACAAATTCTTGTTTTAGCAAGGGGATAAATTTTGTTAGTCTTAATTATATGTACACTATTACATTATATGTCTGTTCTGAAATGTCACTATGTGACTATGTTACTCCACAGCAGTCAAAAGATCATTTTTCTAACTCGTTCCGACTACCAAACCCATTCTGGCTTACGATACCTGGTTTTTCCACAGTACTTTCTCACACTGAATAAGTACTTAAAGCCTTTACTGGCTAGTTGACAATATTTGCTTCAAATAAATAAACTAAATAGCTTGCCAAGCATTGAACAAGGTATCTTCATTATTATGTTGGAGTGCTATATCTAACAGGTTTATGTAGTTAATTGTCAACCAGGCGTCGTGTGGAGGTGGTCCAAATCAACAATTTTGTCACGTAAACGTCTAGTGACTTACTGGAATGTATTATGTCGTAATATGGAATAGTCATATATCTTTGAAATTATATTCAAAAGAAGCTAAATATTACTATTTCTTTTAATACTCTTATTAATTAATTATGTGGTACTTGGTTGACATTTAAGCATACTGGCCGCTTATTTGGGTTCCCGTGCCTGGTAACACCTATGTCCATAGTCTACATATCTCGCAACTCTACAGTTATTTAACTTTTCATAAATGCCCCCGTCCTATCTTCAGAATTATCGTCAAATAGTATATTATTTTGTTATTTATGCCACACTCAATCATTCCACATTCTCAAACCAAATAAGATATACAAACATTTTTCTAAAGACGATATAATTCTATAATAAGATAAGCAAAATCGTTTGTTTTCCCTAAATACAGAGAAATAGCTTTTAATTCACTATAATTTGCCCTAGTACTTTTACATACACATAGTTTAGTTTAGAGTTTTCGAACAACACAATTAGTACCAAAATCTAAATATTGTTGTAAATAAAAATATGTCGATCATATTTTCTCTGCGGCTTCAATAAAGTATCTAAATTATATATCATGTATCCGGCGACATACTAGCTTACTATCGGGTATCCGGCCGGATAGTAAATTAAGGCCAGGTAGACCGGATACCGGATAGGCGCTACCGGATCTCTAGCCTTAGTCTTATCTACCTCATTACGAAACTATGGCAACCCTATACATTAACCAAGACTCTGCAAGATGGTTTCTATGGTTCTATAGTCATAAGATACTGAATTTGAATTGCGAATCCTATTTTGCGGTTATCATATAGATTACAAAACTAGAGAGGTTAAAACTGGTTTTGAACACACCGCATCTACAAGTTTTTCCTTTTTCGTTGTATCGTTTTGTATTTGAATTTTATTATATTTTTTACTATTTTACTTTTCTCATATATTAGGCATAAAATGGAAGGAACTTTTTTTTTATTTTAGAGGAGGCCGACGAGCAGACGGCTCACCTGATGGAAAGTGACCATCGCCGCCCACGAACGTCTGCATCTCAAGAGTCACAAATGCGTTGCTGGCCTTTTACGCTCTACTTTAGAACTTTGTCGTCTCTATGGTTGTTGGTTTTAAAAATAGTAAGTTTGTACTAATTTTATGTTCTTGTGTTGGCTAACCTTTCCCTGTTGAAAATAACTTAAGTATGCAATAGATAGTTTTTATTGATTTTATTTAATCCAGGCTAAGTCGAAGTAGGCTGCTGGTGTGTAATGGCGATTTAATAATCGCGTTTATTCTTACACACGTACACATTCATAATTAAATACATTTAATTTTATTTAAAAATATTAAATGTGAAAATAGCGATGATGTTTCTTGCAATAAGATTAATTTACTGGAAAAATAATCGATCATCGTGTTTTAAAAAACATCTTAACATGTTGATACTACGATCTTTTATGTAATGGGGAGAAGCAGTTGGTTGGCGGGTGCGCTCACGCAGGTGTACGGGCACATGTTGTATTCCGACAGTTGCGCACGCGCGGCCCGACACACAATCTATCGATTTTTTTTCTTTAATTCATAACGGATCTGACACATCCTGTAGTTTATAGACAGATCTGCAAATGGTTTTAGTCAATTCTCTTCTGAATATTTTTTTTAACCACTTTTTATTTAGGTATACCTTTATTTAAGCCTAATACTTGCGCGGTAAATTTATTATACAATAGATGTCTTGCGCACGTGTGAATGTCTGAACGGTGTTGCCAACTACATTTTTAAAGGGTCTTCCAAGGTTATGTATTGAATACTAAAATACACTGGGATACAAACCCTTGAATGTAATCACAATGAAAGTTTTTGTTATGACATCAGCTATTATAATCCTATAAATGTACATAAACGTAAATATTCGGAGATGTTAATCTTGTACGATGATCTGTTCTTGTTCCGTATTAATGACAATCTAACACCTGGCGTTATTGACAACGCCGATAACATTACCATTATAGAGATATGCTATTTGCGAAGGTCATTATAAAGTCTCGCCTGCTTATCGTTTTATATAGGATTCACTTTGATGAGTATGCGATATGTGACACTAGATGCAGACACAAATTCCATGGTTTTATTGTCGACACACCAAAAAATTTAGATTTTTTAATCGAGTGCCCAGTCTAAAATGACCTGCCAGCCAATATTTATTTTTCCTTACTAATATAAGCAGTCCTGGAAAGTTTTAAAACAGAATCTTTCATAGATAGGCATGTTTTGCCTTCTTCATTTGTTCACTGATCAATGCAGGCTTCGCTCATCGATGTCTGCAACCGGTGTTAACGGTTCTTGATGTTCAGTTGATTGATTTGTTTGCAACCTTGAAGTGTTCTTATATAACACACACATATTATTCACACATATTAGTACGTAGGCAGTTTTGACCTTTTTTAAATTCCTTCAGTAATTGCAGTGAAACTATAATATTTTTTTCTGTTGCATAATTTTTTCGTACAATAAGGGATGAATTTAAATGGTAACCCAAAATCGAATAGCAAGATGGAAAATTATCGCCATGACAACGTTTTCCTGAGATATTAATTACTAATTCTAATTATATAGTAATTCTCTAAACACTGTAGTGTGGCGTTTCCATATCTAATATTGTTATATTTAAAATGATCGGTCGAAAGTATATCATATCTACGTACAAATTATCGCTAGGCTTAGTATATATGTATATGCATTGAGCAAATCCAAATTCAATTGAAATATGAACTTACAAACTCTTTCTCAACAAACTTATTATTTATAACTGTAAAATAAGTTTTAACAAAACGCTCACATTACAGCAAAAATAATCATCAACAGTATAAACACCTTAGGTAGGTTGTAAAATTAGCGATATTTTCCATTTAAAATCTCGTAATCAACATTTATATTATGTTTAAGTACGGTATTTTAACACCAACTTGAATATGGCAGGCAATAAATGTACAAGAAAACCACGTACACAATTTTAAATCTGTAAATTGAATTGGAAAATTATGGAACCCAAAGCTGGCAAAAATTGAGCCAAAATTAGTAAAAATCAAAATTCATAAATTAATGATTGGATACCATACCTATAGGGTTATATTTCTAAAATAATAGAGACAGCATGCATTTATAGATGAGCCATCGACCTCACGCAAGTCAATCCGAGAACGGGATCAAATATCGAATGTCGGCCGAGTTCGATCGCCGCCGAAGATATTAATTTACTTTTAAGCTTTCCTTATTAACTTTGCTGGAGTATTATATAACCTTTATGCTTGTTGAAAATCATTCTAGAATATTTTAAATTTTGTTCTTTAATTTAAAAAATATTGTTAATAGTACTATGGTTTTTGTAATGAAAAATGCCCACCACAGATATAAAATTTCATGTGAACATCTTTTTTCCACACGACCCAAAGTGTAATTCACGATTTTATTATTTTCAAGATTTTTTTTTGTAGATATGAATCGATACGATCAAATGAAAACAATTTTACCTTACATGAAAACGTTTAGTACAAAATGAATCGAAATCAAAATGAATAAATAAAAATGAAAAAAATGCTTCATCATAACGATTAAAGTAAATAAAGTACAAATACATCGTACGATACACAAAATTGTACTTAACATAAAACAAATCAGTAAAACTCTAAATTAACTGGATTTTCAAGCTTCATGGTAGCCTAATTATTCAATTTAAAAAAATGTGTCGTCATAGTTTGTATGGCAACGAAAGTCAGAAGCCAGCTTAAAACAAAACGCTAACAGCTTTAAAAAACTGTTTCGTCTCTTTCTGCTTGACACCTTTTTCTTTTCGCTTCATTCTGGATAAATTTAAAAAGTTATTACAAGCTTGATGTGTTAACTAAATATTTTATTTAGTATTTCAACACGAATTTCGCTGACTAAACTTTTTGTGTACTTTCAATCGACATACTTTTAAATATGATTAGGTAATCGTCATATAAAATGTAAGTGACCTCTGTACATTACGAGTACGAAAAATATGTGCAACGTGTACATATTAAATGCTTATCCATAAATATTATTATAATTGAATATATTTGTAACAACAGCGTTTTGAATATAATCTTTGCACTTATGGTAAGTTTGCCGTTTGGCCGTGAATCGAGTCATATAACTATAAATATATAGTACCTATACGACTTCACCAACCAAAATTTTACAATCGACGGAAGCCAAGAAGAAGCCAGAAGCGACGATCAAGAGGTCTATGTACGATTTTTACCAGTGTTTCAACTTAGTCTAAACTCTATAGTAGTTGTTAATCAGTAGATAATTTTCAACGAAATATTAGAAAAGAAAAATAGTTGTAAAATCTGTTCACACCTAATTTTAAAATGTTTAGTCATTAGCAATGAATGAAATTTTATTACATATTTTAATATATATTCACGTGTAAACATGTACCTACTTATCTAAAATGCTATGAAACAAAAGAACTGCGGGTGATTTAAACTACCTATTTACTATCCAATGCTTAAACAAAACATTGAAAAAGATTATTTTATTTTAGTTTCTAATGAAAATTGTAATCCTACTTTGCCTACGTATTTCGTAGCAATTGCTACGCTAAGTAACTCCTGTCTTCGTCGGATGGACAAGGCATTAATAAATACGAAAAAACACGAACCTTTAAGTTAGCTTTCCTAAATTAAAAAAAAAAAACATTCCAGCCACTACTACCAAAACCCTAAAAAATATTTAAACTACGAGTATTTACTAAAGAAAAACTTTCTTTAGTAAATACTCGATTTTTAGCCTAGGCCTAAAGAAGAATTAAATTATGTTTTTGAAAAATTATGAAATAGTGCCATCTGCTCTATCTTTGTTAATATTATCTTGATTCGTAAAAATATTCAAGTATTCGAAAATTACTTACCTACATAAACCGAAATAAACAGCAGCGAGACCTTGGACTTCGATTAGACTGCCACAACCTGCACTGTGTCCACAACACTATACAAATAATATTGCAATCCATTGCGGCACGAGTTAACACTATGCACTGACAAGAACGACTGATCTTGTCTATGTACGATGAAAAAGTAAACGAGATCGCTACGGAATGTAACTTGAAAGTATCGTGGTAGGGGCAAGCATCGTTGCGTGACGACTAGGTACGTTCGGATACACGTCACGGCAATTACCATGTCCCTCGATTATCATTCTTGGCGAAGCGTTATTAGTCTATCCGAGCATTTTGGTTATAAACTTAAAACCATGCTTTGAGCATGGAATTCGTTTGGAATTCGAATTTGAAAGTTTTTCGCTGCATCCTACCTATGCACACTTGAAATTGTGTGTTCTAATTTTAAATAATTTAAGTAAAAATGCCTACAGACGGGCGGAGAGTGGTCTGAAACAGGACTAAAATACGCCGGCCGTCTTAAAATTACCTTAGCGTCAAACATACTACTTTTCTGCTTTTTAAATAATTCATAAACGATATAGCCCAAATTTTTAATACATATTGCAAAAAAATTAAGATAAAAAAAAGTTGTCTTAAATGATAAATTATATTTATTTCTGTAAGTAAATCTTTTCTGATATTTTTACAAGTCGGCCTTTATAGCTAGAAGGAGCCGGAGGAGTCTTCTATAGTTACTTTGCCATTAAAGTAAACCATTTGCAATTCGGTCTTTCCTAATGCTATATCTAAATTACATGATTTTAAGCATCCTCAAATAACAATGAGTAACTATGACTATGGATCTAATTCACGTAAAGAGCGGAAGTGTGACACTATGGTAATGAGATCATAATGTCACACCTGCGCTACCTGTAATTACTTGTAAATGTTGTCATCTTTGAAATTAGCGCTGGTATCTTTGATACTTCTTATGATATTTCAAACGTTGACAGTTATTTATTTCAAATCTAAATGACACGAAATAATAAGCAATTTGTGTTCTCATTTTAAACATACGTCATCGTATGATTTAAAATGAGAACTTTTTTTTTTTTTTCAATTGTTAGTGGCCAGCGTGACAAAAAACTTAATGGTTGTAGAATCATATAAATGTAATAGGATTGAATGACACATTTGTTTATTAAAAACATAAGTTTTTAATAAGCTTTATTATTCTTACATGAAAATAGTTGCAATAAAAAATAATTTGATAAAACTTACTTTATTCAATTTGATTTTTTTCAGTAGCTCAGGCAAAGATATCCACGGATCTGTAACAAAACAACATAATGTTAGTCAAGACGATAGTTTCTACTTAAATTCAAAAATTAGTTGTACTTCATATTTTTATATATTAAGCATACTGCATACTGGTATTCTTATATTTAAAATTTAAAATTCGCTTATTCGTATTTAAGCCGTACTGTTCATGCAATCATCAGGAACTTTTAAATACACGTTAATAGTGATATGGAGCCCAGTTTTTTTTTCCGAAGGATTTGAAAATTATGCGAGTGAAGTCCCAGGTAAAGGCCTCTTAATCAATATATATCATTCGGTATACTTTTACACTTATCTTTTTTAATAAATCGATTATAGTTGCTGTGTAGGCTTTTATTCTACAAATCCTTAACTCCAACAATTGAAAAAACTGACTGACAATTAAAAAAACATGACTCCAGAATAGTCTGTTAAGCTGTTATCATCGTTTTAATCAGTTCATATTTAGAACTAAAATTGTTTAGAAATAGGTTTATATTTCCTTTCCTTTTTCCTCCTACACACTTTCAATATAGCGCCACGCGTCTCTATGTAAATATTTAACTTGGAGGCTCATTGTTTTATAAATGAATTCATATAGTTATGTAAATTTTAAAACCTATAGAGAAATTGTAACTTTGTATAAAAGCAAACATCACATATGTATTTAATGAATTAAGAATCACATTTAAGAATGACATAGTTTAAATGATAAATAAATAAATGTAAAATATTTTTATTACAAATTTTAATCAAATATTATTGAGTCCACTTAATGGTATCCGGCTAAGATTACGAAAGATTACAACGTATCGCTGCGCAGGAGAACAGCACTGCAAAGAGAAGGAAAACTTGAAACAAACCCTATACCAATCCGTCATCGCGGTATAGTAGGAGAAAACCTCCTGGCCTATGTCCAGCTGTGGACTATTAAAGGCTGTTAATGATGAAGGTGACAATGTATCGAAAACCTGCTCCTACATATAAATTATACTCACTACGGTAAAACTTTAAGAAAATCTTTAAATATTATATTTTTACTGGTAACATAAACGGTCATTGAACTGTAAATTTTAAATTTTCCGAGCGCTTCCTTATATTGAAAATTAGTACTTCCTTACTCCAAAGAATTGTCATGTCTCCATAAGGAATCCTTCTTTCATTGCTCGACTGTTTTAGGTTTCCGTACCCAAAGGGTGTCAACGGAAACCTATGACTAAGCCACCGTTATTCAACTATCTGTCAGCTGGCTGTTTCTCATGTACCGTAATAGGCAAACCGTTGAAATTTTAGAAAACTTATAGAATATATGACGCTATTGCAATAAATATAAAATCAAATAAACTTAAAGGGCTCTCCCCTATATAAGAAACACGATTTTTGCCAGCGTCTTATATACCGTATATCGTAGGCGTATATCTCATGTACCGCAACAGGTAACAATTTGCAAAAAGATCTTTGATGTTTTCATTTAACTTAATAATGGTATTTAATAGTTTATTTTTTATTTTCTACGGTCGTCAAAATATGAACGGAAAGTTAAATTAAGATTCGTTTATAATTTAAAATAAAGCCTAGCTAACTATTCTTGAACAAAATCCATTAATAGTCCACATTCCAGATTAGTAAATATTGTAAACTTAATAGTAAACACATTCCAATTGTTATTTATGGAGCATTTAACAATTTTAAATAACGAACAAAGGCGCGAAACTGCTGGTTAAACGTCATTAATTCAAAATTGAAATTTATCGCTCCATTATCGTTGTGTCTGACGGTAGGCGCTATTGTGATGCAGTCGCCACCTCATACAGCCTATTGTGCGCATCTGATATCTGTCTGCAAGAGCTTTATTACAGACTGTCTAGCGTTCTGCATTGTCTTGCTAGATATTAAGTTTTTCATGTTTTATTTAGGAAATCATTTTATTTTTTAACATAAGGACACATTTTATACTATTGCCTACAAAAGCTGAGAGTCTGCACGGTGGGGCTTTAAAACATTCTCCTCGGGCATTGCCTGTGAATTCCATTGTGTTATGATGACTGTTTTCGAGTCGGTGTAGATCGTAAATTGTATGGTACATGGTATTATATAACACAATTTGTATTTTCTATGGACGTGCAACTGTAGTTGTAGTTTACAGTTATATCAAGCGCGGCAATGTTTTAGTGTTGTTTCTTAAACCAATATAATTATTTTTTTTATACAGCAACGAAATATGCTTTTTTCTTTCAACTTACCTGATGGAGAGTGATAAAAATAGAAATGTTACATGTCTATCCAATAGAAAACTATTAACTTTAGAAACTTATATAGGTTTCAGTATTATAATATTCGAGGAAAACAGATGCAGCCAGTTATTTCAAGAATTTGGCGATTCTAACCAATAATGAACTCTCATAACGTTTAGTTCGGCTTTAAGTTGTTGCGACAAGGAAAGGATCTCCGACTAGTATTTTAAAAAAAGATTATAGTATATATACGGTTAAGAATAAAGTCAAAATCAGGAAATCGCTGCAATTAAAGAGCTGAGCTGAGTGAAATAGGCAAACCAAATGTATGACGTATAGATCAAAATAAAAAACAAACAAATTTACAAATCGATATATCATGCAGTTTATACTCGATTTTGGAAAAAAACACTGAACTAATGTTTAATTTCTTTTTTAAAGGCACAAGTTCTCGTGTGACCTTTTCGCGCTTGCTTCCGAACAGCCGGCTTTTTTGCACAAAATTGAATGGCGGCGGGGGATAGAAATCTTTCTCACGCCACACCATGGGAAGTGAATTAAAGTGACGCTCCTTATTATGCCATAAACACTTCTTGCTACAACATGTTACTGGAAAATTTTATTTGGAAAATTTAATTAAAGGCAGAATTATTTTAATTTTAAATGGAGAATTATAACCAAGAAAATATTCGTCCTTATTAATCCATTATTTATCTGCTTTATTGTTCTTCTGCAGAAATATAATCCAACGGTGAAGATTGCCCTGTTTTTTGTTTTTAATATTCTGTGTTTATTATTAACATTTTTTTTGGATTGTTGTGTAGCTAATAACGTCTTGGAAGTAAAAATAGTGTGAAGTATTACAAATATATTTAATCTTTGCAATATTTACCATAATTTTTTGACAGACAGTCTCTTTCTAATGCTCTGATTACTTTTTAATATTTCAAACGTCAACATGACTTACAAAACAGTAACAAATTATACATGCAGTGTTCGTTCACGTTTTATTTTCATGAAAGTGTACTAACCGCGTAAATTAGTACTAGAGTGGGGATAAGATAATTAGGGTGGTGGTGGAGCGAGATCATTGACCGCAGAGCCTCTATTCCGTCAACAGATGCCGTCACCGACACAACAGTTCAATAAATCTTAAGGTTGTTTTACTGCCATCCATAGTCTAACGTTTAATTTCTATTTGTGGGTAATATTAACAATACTTTTCAAATATTCATTAAGAACATATTTTTATTTGAACAAAGTTTATGATTGTCAATTTTAGTCATGCTGCACTAAAATATATGGGTAGATAACCATTTATTTTTAATACATAGTAAGTACTTTATTTGTTATCGAACATTGACCGTAGTGAAAGGTCAAAAAAGCCACTACAAAGGCAAAGAAAAACATATATAATAGTTCTATCAAACGCTACAGTTGGTATCACAGAAGTTGATTGCTCATCATCTTCTGACGCAAAAGTTACAAAGACGGCAATTTTTTTTCGAAAATAGTTGATTGTTTCGTACACAACAAAACTTTATATCAAAACAATTACACATCTATTGTATGTTCTCAATAACATTAACGTCATTCTGACTACAAAAGCTACTTGGCAATCGATAATTGTAACCGTCAGCATAAATCGATAACAGCCGTTTCCAAAGTGCCTGTAACTCTCTTTGATTATGAGTACGGCTCTTATTATGGCAATTATTAGAGGATACGGATATCATCTATTGTATCGCCAATTAGCATGTGATTACATCACACGTACCACAGACAGACGTGGGAAAGTTGTTAATAAAGAAATGACAGAAGAATTATTGTTGATTTTTGATTAAACAGTTGATGATACAAGTATGCGGTCATAAAAAATATGTAATTAGTAGCTCTTTTGATATCATTTCCGTTTTCATAATATTTAAATTACTTTTTGGGGTTGTCTTAATATAATTTAATTAGACGTCGATGTTCTGTTCTCACTATATCGACAAATACTTTACTAAATTATATTGTGGCCAAAATAACTTCTTTGAATATTAGAATACTAGCTGAAGTGTTTATTTTCATTAAGAAACATAAATATACTTTTGATATTGGCTGGAATGCATACAGAAAACTTGATATAACAGCTTCAACATAACGATATGTTATTCGGCCTATGATCATTAAGTCACCAGGTATAAAAACAAACAATTTAGTGTCTTATAGTTAATGTATTCTTCAGTGTAGTAACACTGTGACGTGTTGCTAACAATTTTATCCCCTTTAAGTCTATTATTGACATCAGATGACTTTATATCATCGAAATATATGTGTCCTTAATGACAGCCGATGTGGTCACCGCAGGCTGTTCATGTAATGTTCATTTAATTGCGTGGAAATATTTTGTGACCACAAAAGCAACTATCTTTGTTAGCCAAATTGCAGTGATTAAGTCAGATTTACCTACCGCATATACGACAACACATACACGACCAAATATGAACAGTAAACAAAATAAGTGTGTTTGTGTCCACTTTGTGACGGTATAAGGTTATTAGCATATGTGGAATGTGGGCTATTATTGCAGCCTGTATTCTGTACTTATAAGATCCAAGGCATGATTTGTAGATTGTTAAATTTGGGCTTCTTAAAATTCTGACTTTGACTTATGTTTAAAATGTAGACGTTCGAAATATAAACCAAAATAAATCATCTACAAAGAATATCATACCTTTTAATTCAACTTACACTTCTTAAAATATATGTAATTACATAGTAGGAAATTTACT